CTGAACCAGTGAAGCCATGTTGTCTGTCACCAATCACCTTTCTGTCCTCCATCTGCCTCAGCATAGTTTCCAGGAGGATCTGCTCCATGACCTTGCTAGGCACCAAGATGAGACTGATTTGCCAGTAGTTCCCCGGATCTTCCTTATTTCACTTTTTAAAAATGAGGGTTATGGTTCCCCTTTTTCTGTCAGTGAGAACTTCATTGGACTTCTCAAATATGATGGGTAGTCACTTAGCCACTTTCTCTGCCAGTTCCCTCAGGACCCATGGGTGTATCTCATCAGATTTACCTCAAGATAAACCTGAGCCTTAGAGCTTTCATTCTGCCCATCCTTACTCTATGCTTTGAAACTTCTGAGAAAGAATTTCTGCAAAAGCTGGGATAGTAAAGCCATCAAAGGATATATTACCCTAGGAAGAAGAGGGTGACCACCATGTGTTACCACATCTCCACAAATTTAGATGAAGGGATGGCTGACAAATTACAGCTCTCTCTGAACTGCAATTAAATGAATGCCAGTAGCTGTAGCTGCAAGGAAATATATGATTGAAAAATGCATATGGTTTGGAGGCAATATTATTTTGAGACTTGAAGTTTAGCCATTGGGCTTTGGTTCAAGCTGCACTGGAAGTCATAGGCCAAATTTGCATGATTGTAGGAAAGCCTTAGACAGCCAAGCACCTGTCTCAGTGCATTAATTGCAGAATTAGCCTGCTAGGAAAAAGGAGGGGAAATGAAAGCAGTGCAGTGCAGAGGAGCCAGGTGAATGCTCAGTCAGTGTGATAAGTAAATCTTTTATACAGCTGTTAATTTACAAGAGACTATATTTTACTACAAATTATGCAAGCAGTTTTTACAGTTCTGTGATCATTGTTTTACTATGTCATATGAGGGATGTTGTTGATACTAGTTCACAGGACACATGGCAATTACTGACACTCTAAGTGTCTTCTTTTCTACCTTTTAACTATTTTAGTCATGTTTATGCCTTTCAGTGCTTCAGTTTTTTAGGCCTGTGAAATGAGGATGATCATGCTTGCTTCTCAGCAAGGGTGAATCTAACACTACTAAGGGAACAGTGCTGTAGAGGAGGTAAGGACTTGTAGTTTATTAGTTACAGTAGCCAAAGGAGAAGACTTCAGGCTTTGCCTTAGGGCTTTAGTCAACCTGGTAATTAGCTTCTAAGAAATCCTTTATCTAGAGATCGGTAAACTGCATAGTAAGAAATAGAATGAAAAACACAAGAAATGGCCTTTTAATTTTTTTGATGTGTTAAAATGTGGGGTTTTAGCACAATGTTGTCATGGAAATGTTGCCGGACTTGAAGCAGCTGACTTTTCCAGCCAAATAGAAATTTGTAGTCATCAGCAGCAAGCAGGACTTCAACCTGTGCTTTTAGCAAGCTTTATAATGAAGTTTATGCATGGTAATTTAAGCATATTTTAACTGCTCTGACAGAAATGTCCTGCGAGAACAAACAGATCTTTCTGAAAATAGCCTTTAGAGAGGTAAAATGCTTCTGAGAAACAGCAGGGGAAACTCTTTGTCATCCAAGAGGACATAAAGTCCCTCCATGCATCAGGACTCAACTGCAGTACAGAAAATTTGCATGGTAAGGTTTTCAACTGACTGAAATACAAAAGTATTCTAACAAGTGAGTAGCTTATTTTGTCCCATGCTGGCAGAAGTACTGCGTGAAAGTGACCCTACACTGCTGCTCAGTGTCAGCTCAGCAAGCTCAAAAGCCTGCAGAAGGCAGCAGCTGAAAGTATTCAAGAAGCTCTTTGCATTTTTTTCCTTTATTTGTACATAAATTCAGATGGATCAGTGTGGGTGTGTATGCATGTGCACATCCCCCTACTTTTGTCCTCTTTTCACCTGCTAAAGAACATAGAGGATCTGGGACCAAGTGTGTAGCAGAGTACTGTATTTCAAGCTAATAGATTCAATTGTAGGTTCACTTCAGAATTTTCACAGAGGTGTTGCCAGTTCTCCAGGTTCTCTAGATCTGGAGACCCCATAAAGATATGAACATGACAGTAGTGTCTCATATTCCCATGCAATCAACAACAGGAAGGAGTCAAATGTTCTTTGTCAAAGCAGGAGTCGCATCACAGGAATCATGCTGTATAATCCTCACAAGGTCTGCTGATATCGGGGAACTCCTTTTCATCTAATGTGCCTGTGAGGTATTCCAATTGCATCATTTGCAGTCTAAAGAAATCCTGATTAATCCTAAATGCTGTTATTTTGGATTGCGACCACATGTTTTCTTGAACATAATAGTACATTCTGCATTGAAAATGAAAATCTAGTATCAGGGATAGACTGTTGTAGCACTGATTTGCCTAATCTCAAATTTTGTGAATGTGAAGGTCAATAGTAGTTGACTGTACTGTTACACAATCCTAAGGACAAGACAATGAATAATGTAAGTTTTTTTGGTAGAGGCTGTATGTTGAAAATAACCATCTAAAATTTTCTCACTTTGTGGTGAAAGAGTATGTGGATAATTTGAGGCTGATAATCCTTTCTACTGGCTTGTTGAATCACCTTTACAAGAAGGTAAGGACATACATATGGGGAGATATTTGCCTGGTAAAATGACTTTCAATGGTGGGTTGATCACTTAACTTTTCAGATCCAATGCACTAGAAAGTGTTCCCAAGCTGCAGGAAACAGCACAGAATTCAAGCTAGACAGAACAAGGCAGAAAATCTCAGAACATGGGAGTTCTGAATGTATGTACTAAGAAATATAAAATCACAGAATCAATTAGGTTGAAAAAGACTTCTGAGATCATTGAGTTCAACCTATGACCAAACACCACCATGGTAACTAGACCATGGCACTAAGTGCCATGTACGGTCTTCCCTTAAACACTTCCAGGGATGGTGACTCCACCACCTTCCTGGGCAGCCCATTTCCCTTATAAACTAATTAGAAAAAACAAAGCCTTCTTCAACTTTGCCAGGTCATGATGGCATTTACATGTAAAGCATGACTTTTCTCTTCTTTGAAGTTTAGTATTTTCTGCTAATGAGGAAATGCTTTGGATGGCCTGGCGTAGCAGATCTAAAATCTGAAAATGCCAGGGTCACTATTTTTCTTGCGAAACTGTTGTGTGTAATTGAATACAAATTTTTTGTTTGAAGATGCTGTCTGGGTAATAGCAATAGTGCTGGCAGGAAGTTCTTAGCTGGGCTATCTGCACGCACCCTTATCTGTAAATGTTTTATGAACATTACAGATCTGCTGCAGACTGACAAATCAGTTCCAGAGTTGTGGCTGTGTATAGCTATCGGTAAAGTGCCTGTAAGTCGTCAGCCCTTCTGTTTCTCTAGTCTGTGGATTCAGCTGGCCTGCATATATCAAGATCTCAATGTCTTTTTCACATTTGCCTTTTTCATGCATCTAATAGGCTACAGTAAAGCTACGTGATCCCTAACAATTTGTCAGTAAAAGCTGATAGGTAATTTGCCAAAGAAGAGAAAACTAATACAGAGCTTAAACAAGACTAGAAGGCAGAAAAATATTTTCCCTTGACTCCCTCACTGCAGGAAAACTGGAATTACTTTGTCCTTTGTTGTTTTCTTGATGAGAGGACAGACTTACTGAATTTGTGCCCAGTTAGTAATATCAATTATTTGGCATTGTTATAATTTATTATTATAAGCGGGGTACTAATATATATTAATACCCACTTTGTTCTATTTTATCTTGTTCTATTTTCTAAGATTTTGTTTGTGTGTGCTTAGGGACCAGTCCTATTCACCTCATTTCCTGTTTTATCACAGAACTGATCTCATTGTGGTCAGTGGGATTATTGGAATTACACTAGAGAAACTTCTATGATATTATATGAAATAAAATATGATATGCATGCATATCAGGCCACTTTTTTTGTTATTGTTCAAATTTAAGTCTAGACAACAGAGGACTACAGTAGCAATAAGAAAAGCTCTTAAATAGTTAGAGGTTTTCTATACTAATTCATCGCTTGTTATTTCCCTAGCATACTTTCCTTTGTATAATTTATTTTGCTGAATAAACATCATCATCCTAACTAGTAAAATAATTCCAGTGCTTTTATGCAAGAATAAGATTTGTATCATCCTTTTTTAGGAGCTGTCATATTAAAATAAGGTGACTGCTTCTGATTGCTTACCTTACTCCATATAGTTTAATATACTCCTTAATGCTGCAGAGGACTTCAAAAATTCAGTTGTTGGCAAATAGGGACCCGACTGGAAATAGTTCAAAATTGCTTAGGTTTTGTGCTCTCAGCACAAATAGATGGATTGGTTTGGTTTTTGTCATTCTATGTCTGCCTTTGATTTGTCCATCTTCAGCACTTTGAAAACTCAGCTTCAGTATCTCCAGCTGGATGCCCCACATCACTTCACACTTTGAAAATGGTAGTCTGATCGTTGTGTCTTGATTCTTTCCTGAAAGCAGTAAGGATCATCTTTAATGCTGTGTTTTCCTCATTTCATCCACTCATGCATGTCCTTTGTGCTTTAATTTGTTGTTTTATTTGCATGTGTGGTAGTTTTCCAGCATGCTTTGCTTTGTGCACTTTGATCTGCAGGCTAAGCATGATGGATTTGTCTGTCACACTCTCTCTTTGTGCTCAGTAGAAGTGTCCTTGTACCAACAAGCACTCGTTTCACTTCGCTGCACTGCAAGAGAGCTTACACAAGCAATCATAATACTAATGCTGTTCTAAGAAATAATTGCTGAGGCATTCATCTTTAAAAAGAGATATTTTCCTCCAAATGTCTTTGAAACAAGGCAGCCCTACTTTTAATTTTGCTATGGACTCTCTGAAGTCTCTCACTTCAGCAAGCTGGATTATGCTGTGTTGTTACTATTACTCTCATCTTTTTTTGTCCCTGAGCAAAAGACATAATGTTTCAGAAGTTTAGAAAGTCTTCAGTGCCTATACTGTACAATTCTTTATTCAGGGAGACTCAAGAAGGATCTCTGCTCTTCCTCTGTATTATAAACAATTTTAAATTTATTTAACGTGATATTGGGTGCCTTACATTTGATAGGAACATTACAGATAAACTGAATTACGAAGAACTTTATTTTCACAGAATGATGTTTTCTTCCCTCTTTTTATTTTTGATCCATGTTCTAGAATGAGAGAGAATCTGACTGCATTATCTGTTGGTTCAGTTACAAAGTACTTGAAAGTGGCATCTGATTTTGGTAGAAGATCTGGTGTCCTTTGTACGTGCTCCAGACTTGAGAGAGGAGAATAAATAAGTAGGAATACTGTTGTGACTAATGAGTCAGTTGTGCTACTGTTGTCAGATATATGAACTGTCCACCTTATTACAAGACCCTGGCGATCAAGCTGACATTAACTGCAAAATCATTTCTATATCTGTAATCTGTATGTGTTTCAACTGAGCTCATTGCACAATCTCCTATATACCATCCATAAGAAACATGCATCAATATTTTCAATGTATGGGAATCTTCCCAGATTTCCAAAATAGATTTCCTTGTAGAAACACATGGTCTGCACCTAAGAAAAGAAAAAAAATGCTTTTTGTCTCATCCAGGTTTTCCTTCTTAGATTCCTCCATGCAGTGAGAAAACATCAGGTTCAGCCCAAGCTGGCTGTTTTCCAAGTAAGTGCAAGTTATCCTATGCTGCCCTGAATTGTATTTTCCCCTGAAACTCTGTTCAGAGGGAGTGATCCTGAAGGTGTGCCCAGATAACATGATGTGTGTGTGAAGAGTAAGGTGTAGGTAGTGAGCAGGTAGGCAGTCACTGCTCTTCAAACTTCGATGGAATTCTAGGCTCCTCATAGGATTTTTGCTTTAGACCCTTCACCAGCTCTGTACACAATAAATTGTTGTTAAATAGCACCAAAACATATTTCTAATCAGATGCAACTGAAGGAATCAAAACATATAAACTCTCAATTAACTGTAACTTACAATTAATCATTTATCTGGGTGATGTGATCTAGTAAGGAATTTTTGTGCTATGGAAACAAAGCTGTATTTGTAAGCAGTGTTTAGCAAGTAGTTAGAATGCAGACAGAAATCCATGAATCCAAATCTTGTAGGACATCATTAAACAGCTGTGTTTCACGGTGTGGATACCTCACAAACAGGATGTAGTGCAACAGTCTTATGCAGGGATAGATAAGGCAAGGTCTTTCTTAATTGAAAGACCACTGTGTTGTAAAGCATGTGGATTTCAAGGGTGGACCTGGGATAAACAATCTGCTTGTATTGCTATTGAAGTGTTTAAGTTGACTAATGGAGGAAATGTGTATGCTTATCACTATCAAGAAAAATCAGTTTTTACAGATTCAGTCACCACAATGGAGCAGTTTGTATATGTATCTTCAAATGTAACAAATACTGTACTTCTGAAATTTACAATTATAACTATTTAATGAAACTTGACAAGAGTTTAATTAGAGTTGCTTAATCAAACTTCAAATGTCAATAGCTTCCAGGATTAGTTTCCACTGGACTTTGATTATTTTCTTTTTTACATATATATTTTTACATAGTTTTTAATTACAATGACGTGATATTTTCTTACACAGGATCAGAGCATTGATTTTGCAGAAATAAACAGACCTGAAGAGACTCAGGGAATTATGTGATACTATCTCTGCACTTTCAGTCAAATATTCATATATGCATTACAAGCACTGGGCTGTTCCAAACCACCAGCCACCTTTTGCTTTTTCTGAATTTGCAGTTATGATTCATAAAAAGTAGAAAAAGTATCATGGAAGCACTGGTGTGTATCAAGAAAAGCTTTAATTTTATGTATTTATTTCCTGTACTTTTTGTTGTCCATCTTCTGTGTGAAGAGAGCATTACCTGTCTCCCAGAGTGGAAAAAGAACCTATTGAGACTGACTGAAGTGGGGAAGGTTACTTTCCCTGCTGGAGTATCAGTCTAATAGCTGTGCCTACAGCTTTGTTAAGCTCTTCAGCAGCAGATGTGAGTATGTGAGAAATTCTTGCCTCATTACTGAGTCATCAGGACTGGAAAACAGACTGACACAATCAGTCACAGTTGTTTTGTGATCTGCCCTCTCTTCTGATGCCTTTCTCCCCACAACATGCTAATTTTCTACCCACTTTAAGGGGGTCTTTAAAGTTCCTCATGGATGAGTTGCTAGCATTTTTTAACTTGAGCAAAGAAATGTATTCTCTAGTCCTGTTCTCAGAAATAACAGAACACTTCCAACAAAATTTTGTCATTAAGATTAGGTGAAATTATCAGTCCTTAATAGGCAGCTGGTATATACAGCTTCAGCTGGGGTGATTTAATAAAACTAGAAAGCTGAAAGACAAGTCATCGGAACAGAAAAATGCATGCCAATTTAGCACTTGCTAAATTTGACCACTGTTATTTATCTTAATGTCTTTATGGCATTTAAAAAAATGTATTTTATGGAACAAGCTTATAGCAAGAATGAACTTACTAGCTTAGTTGTAAAATGCTTTAAGTACAAGGAGTAGCAGGTCAGAGCCATTTAAAGGAGCTGATGATTTGACAGAAAATAATACAAATAATACAAAGCTGCTTAAATAAAGTTCGAGGCAGATGTACTGGACTTCACTAAGGTAGTTTCTAAGGTTAGAGGATGTAGATCCATCTTTTTCCCTGGCATTGCAGTAGTCTGCTCAGTTCTCTATGCCAAGTACTCTTAATCTCGTAAGAAAATACTGTACCAGAGATGGTGTGCATGGCTGACTTTGACTCAGGCTGACATAAATTATTATTGCTTTTGCAACTATAGAGGCATTTATTTGAGGCAAACTTTTCTTATATTTACAGACACTGACCAAAATTCTATGGATGGGAATGCAGGAGAAAAGGTCAGTACTTGGTAAACTTCAGTCTATTTGTTTCTAAGCCGCAGGTAGGTGTGTTCTGTGGAAGCAACAGAGTCTAAAGCATCCTTTCTGCATCCCTCAGCTGCTTTTGTGTGGATCCCATAAAGTCAATGCAGAACTGTGTTGGCTGTTACCTGCCATCTATAATGGCTCAGCAGGGGTGGGCAGGCTTATTCTGCACTGGAACATTTAGGAGAACGTATCACTTAGCAGTATGCTGCTTTGTCTGAAGGCTGTCGTTAAATTATGTGATGAGGGAGGTGCCCTAGCTGGATTTTCTCATCCCCTCAACCCAGGTAAATGATAACATTGAAGTGGGAAGGGGTCTCAATCTTTTATTTGTAAATATGATTGCTTCGGGAGGATGTCAAAGAGGAAACAGCAGGAAGGGTACATAATGCACAACTAAGTAATCTTACCTTTACTGTGGTAAACCAGACCTGAGTTTATTCTTTGTCTGCCACCTCCTGCATTTCATCTTGGGCTTTCTGTAACCAAATCAGCTGAATGAGGACTACTAATCTCTGGATTTTAAATGTCTCTGTGCTTCAGGAGAAGGAAAAAAAGAAGCAAAGAGTATCTGTGTTCAACTGAGGAGTGACAAATATATTCTCCTGCCTGTTGCTGGTTCAGGTGTTCTGAGAAGAAATTGAATGCATAGACAGAGAGCCAGTATTTTCAGCATGGAAACCACAAGTCTTGGAAAGGAAGTTTTCCACTGGTTGCTCCTCTCTTCTGCCAATACATGCATCATCATCTTTACTGCTTCTTTAATGTATCACAAATAAGTTATTTTTTAGTCAACTTTCCAGGAAAACCAATTCAGAAATCCTATGAAGATTCTTTTGATGTTTCCATTAAATAAAATTCCCTCATGGGGAATATAAGACCAGCAAGAGCTCTTTAATATCTAATTCATTACACTAACTTGGTTATCTATATGGGAAGAAACTATATTGCGAATATTTAGACCTTCATTTAAATGTGATTTATTTCAGAGGTTTTAAATTCCAGATCAAAATAATCAAACAATTTCAACATAACAATAAGCTTACCCTTCCCCAGTGCAGAAGAGTGTGCAAAAATGTTTGCTTAATAAGTTTAAACTCCTGAGATGGATATGCTCAGCAGCAGCAAATACATCCTGTGCTTAGATCATGTAGTGAACATCAGCGTGCTTGTTTGCTGTGGGGCCCGACTTAAAACCTCTGCAATTATACTCAGTCTGAGGATAGAAAATCTTTGCTGTCGACATAGCAGACCAAGTGATTCAGTGCTCAAGGTACTTTAGTGCTGCTTGAACATAAAGAAGAGGAAGCAAGGAGGAAGGGTGTTTATTTTGGTAAAATCTTGGAGAAGATTATTCTGGGAGTTACTGAAAAACATTGGTCGCAGTCAGCACAGGCTCATGAGGGGAAAGTCCTGCTTAAAAAATTAATTTCCTTTTACAACATTGTTACCCACCTATTAGAAAAAGGAAAGACAGCTGATGTAACCTGTTTAGATTTCAGTAAAGCTTTTGATATTGTTTCTCACAGTATCCTTCTGGACAAAATGTCCAGCACAAAACTGGATAAACATGTCATGCAATGGGTGAGCAACTCGCTCAGGGGCCAGGCACAAAGGCTTACAGTAAATGGAGTAACAACAGACTGGCAACCTGCCACTAGTGGAGTTCCACAGGGCTCCATCTTAGGCCCTGTGCTCTTCAACATCTTCATAAATGACTTGGATGTAAGACTGGAAGGTATTCTAAGCAAGTTTGTTGATGACATTAAATTGGGAGGAGCTGTTGATTCCCTTGAAGGCAGAAATCTTGACAAATTACAAGGCTGGGCAATCACCAACTGTATCAAGTATAACAAGGGCAAGTGCTGGATTCTGCACCTGGGATGAGGCAACCCCAGATGTTCGTACAAACTAGGGAATGAGATGCTGGAAAGCAGTGCCACAGAAAGGGACCTGGGGGTCCTGATTGCCAAGGTGAATATAAGTCAGCAACACCCTGCCAGCCAGGACGGCCGACCATGTCCTGGGGGGCATCAGGCAAAGCATCGCCAGCTGGTTGAGGGAAGTGACTGTTCTGCTCTGCACTGGTGCAGCCTTGCCTCAACTCCTATGTGCAGTTTTGGGTGCCATAATATATCACATAATAACAAAATGGGTAAGGCTGGAAGAGACCACAATGGGTCATCTGGTCCAACCTCCCTCCTCAAGCAGGGTCAGCCCAGAGCACATGGTACAGGATTGTGTCCTCATATTCAGAGAGAACTTCCTGTGCATCACTTTCTGCCCATTGCCTGTTGTCTTATTGATTGGTACCACTGAGAAGAGCCTGACTCCTTGGCAGCCTTCCTTCAGATACTTACAGACATTGATGACATCTCCTCTCAGTTGTTTCTTCTTGAAGCTGAGCAGGTCCAGCTCCCTCAGCCTTTCCTTGTAAGAGAGATGTTCCAGTCCCTTAATTATCTTTGTCGCCCTCCACTGGACCTGCTCCAGGAGCTCCATGTCTCTTGCCCTGAGGAGCCCAGAACTGGACACAGCACTGCAGGTGAAGCCTCTCCAGGGCTGAGTAGAGGGACAGGATCACCTCCCTCAACCTGCTGTCAATGCTCTTCCTAATGTATCCCAGGATACCATTGGCCTTCTTGGCCACAAGGACACACTGCTGGCTCATGGACAGCTTGTTGTCCATCAGGACTCCAGGTCCTTCTCTGCAGAGCTGCTTTCCAGCAAGTCAGCCCCCAGCCTGTACTGGTGCCTGGGGTTATTCTTCCCCAGATGCAGGACCTTGAATTTGCCTTTGTTGAATTTCAGACAGTCCTCCTCTGCCCATCTCTCCAAACTGTTATAACAAAGTCTTTTAACATAATGTTCAGGATAAATGTTTGTTTTACAATATCATCCCTGTTACTGTGTACAGAAATTCAGTAAAAGTTCAAAAGCACATAATTCCCTGCATCAAGTTCTGCTCTTTGCTGTAATCCCATTGCCCTGAGGGTTGTAAGCATACATCTGAAACCACAACCTCTGGCTCCTGCTCACTGAATAATAGTAAATATTGATGTAGCAAATTGGTCAAGTTGTTTATGTGGCAAATTTCTTGCATGCTCAAAGTCTAGAAATGTGTTCATTTACTCCAGGGTGCTTGGAGTAACTTGGAACAAATTTAACTAATTAAGTTAATATTACAATTTATTTGTTATTATCTGAGCACTAGAGCATGAAAAATACAACTCCAGTGGGAACAGAATGGAGTGGTTTCAAGAAGTTCACAGAACAGGATATATTAGTGATAGAAGAGACTTTAAGAAATCAGTTAATCCATTTCCTTTTTCTAGTTACAGCTGTTATCAATATTGGCATGTCTGTCTAATTTGTTGATAAAAAATCTCCAGTAATGCCAAGTGCACAGTCATATGCAAATACTATAAATATGATATTTAACTATCAGTTTATTTAACGGAATTTATAACATCATCAGAAGAGAAATCTTGTTGTGGCCAATTATTCTGCCTTCAAAGCACATTCTGATCTTGAACTCAACTAAAGGAGGATCTCCTAATGTACAGAGATCATCTGTTGTGAGAGAGATTTAGCAGATCACATGCCAATCTCCATGCTGATTTTTGGAGATTATGGGAGGGCCAGTTACTGTTTTCTGCTGAAATGTTGTGCTTGATGGCCTCTGTCAAAATTTGCATACACCTCTGGCTTGGTTCAGAGTGGTCTATTATTAGCTGAACACAGAAATTACTTTTACTCTTAGGACTTGTACCATGTGGGTTTTTTTTTCTGATGTAGCTGAGAATATGGGCTGCTGTGCTTAGGATTTTTTTCATATAGAGAATGAATAAATTAAATGAACATTTTTCTTTCAGCCATTATATGGCAGAACATTAAAAAGTTTCATCCTGTAGCAACATTCCCATTGATGTGCCTGAAGCAAGAACACACATCTAATGTGTATAATTAATGATTCTACAGATTTTCCTGAAGAACTTTTAATGTACTAGTTACCTATGGCTTTTGTGTCTCAAAAGGTACAAATTGTTTTTCTCTCTTACCCTGTATAAAAGCTTGATGCTTGCACACAATGGTTACTTCCTTACTCAGCAGCTGTCCTCTCGTCAAGATTTTGTAAGGGATCTCATATGTGGAAAAATTAATGCTCTGTTCCCAGGTAGTGTGGCAGGCCATACATATTCTTTAGGGCTGATGTTGTTTTCCTTCTTGTTCTTGTAAATTCTCCATTATAGTGATCACCTCCTGGCAATGGTTTAGTGAGTAATCTTGCTGTGTGTTCTTTAATTCCTTAGGTAAAAATGAATACTTCCCTGCATCCATCTGTCAGTGATTGTGTTAAGACACAGGAATTATCATTCTGGGTCAGAGCTGAGGTCCATTTAGGCTTGTATCTTCTCTCTAGTAATGGTCAGTACCAGAAGCATCATCAAAATGAACAAGTGTTTGCCTCCCATTGCTGTGAGTTCTCTCCTGCCCTGAAGCATGTAGTTGCTTTACCTTCCAGTCTCTTGCTTCTGTTCTCTTCTTTTTAATTTGTCACCTTTTTTGGTTTTGGTATTGCTTTTGGTTTGGTTGGTTCCTTGCTTTCTTTCTGTGAATTTTTGTTGTTGTTGTTGTTGTTGTTTTGGTTTGGGGGTTTTTTGTTTGTTTGTGTCTGGGGGGGTTTTGTTTGGTTTTGGTTTTTGTTTTTGTTTTTAATCCCAATTTGGTTTTGGCCATAACAGCACATTCTGATAATGACCTGGTTTCTCAGTAGCAAAATCAGAGAGTAGTAGAGTTTTGCTATGATACATGTTGGTCTTCGAAAATAAATAAGGTAATTGCATTTCTCTTAGCAATGGTCCGCTGGTGTTGATGATAAGACAGTGAAAAGACAGATGGAAGCAGAGATACTGAGGCAGTCTAAATAAGAATGTAATGTTCTGTCTAGAAGAGCTGTTTTTTTAGAAGTGCAGCTTTAAAAGCACTGATATGGTATGTCTGTGGCCACAGGAACTTCCTAGGGGTACCAGAGCAGTGCAACGACAAAGCTTTATTCTGACATACTATGTAGTGCTAATGAAAAGGGTGGAAGAGGAAGAAGAATGGAAGTAGGAACATCTTTTCTCCCTTTGCTGCTTATATGTTGCTGTTGATTCTATCTGCTTCTCGGGAGATACCATTTAGATGGTGAGCAGTTCATTCTGCTCAACAACAAATGCAAGCTTTTCTTATATTCTGCATCAGTTCTCATGAAAGATAGCAGGCAGATGGGTGTGGAAACTGAAGCTCTCTACCTACAACAAAAAACCCACATACATACACCACTGTAAGCAATTCTGTGCTGCCTGATGTGTTGGGGCAAAGAGGAGCTGAGTTTTCACTGCATTAATGTTCTGTTTTCTGTGCCATTATTGTTAATAGGATACCTATTGTGGGTCACCATTCATTAGGAATGGGCTGGAGGCTACTAAACAGGTATCAGATGACAAGTGGACTAGTTTTTAACCAAAATCAGGTTAGAAAAGTTAATGACTTTATTTTATTTAAAAGAGTTTCTGTGGAGCTTATAATCAGAACATTTTTGGTTAGTCTGTTTCCTAGAGGATGAGGCTTATCTGATTCTGTATTGTTGTCTGTGAATGTATTTGTGCATGTCTGTATGCCTGTTTTTCCCGCTCTTCTTGGAATGACTTTTGCACCTTGAGAATTCTTAGCTACATACCAAGACAGTCCCAAGATAAAAAATTCCTGCAAGTCATGATGCTGAGTGTCTGTGTGAGACAGACGTCATCACAGCCCTTCTGAGGAAACAACGTCAGACATGGATGCATAAGAAATTAGGCTTCATTAGTTACTTGCATCATTGAACTTGGTTTTGAATGCGTCCATTGCATCCTCTTCTTTTATTTACTGTATTAAGAGGAGTGTCCTTGGTATGTGGCATCACCTTAGTGTTTTACCCTTGAAGAGGGTTATTAATACAATCCTAAAGTTGGGTTCATTTTTTCCTTCAAGCACCTTAAGCATTTTCCTTGATTTTGGCATGATTTTTTTTCATAGAATCATAGTGAGCTGGAAGGGACCCAAAAGGATCATATGAGTCCAACTCCTGGCCCTACACAGGACAACCCCAAAGAATCAGACCATGTGCCTGCCTGTATTGTCCAAATGCTCCTTGAACTCTGTCAGGCTTGGTGCTGTGACTACTGCCCTGGGGAGCCTGTTCCTGTGCCCAACCACCCTCTGGGGGAAGAACTTTTTCCCAATATTCAACCTAAACCTCCCCTGACACAACTTCAGGCCATTCCCTCAGGTTCTGTCACTGGTCATTACAGAGGAGAGATCA